TCAATTCAGGATTAAAAGTAGTCACAACAGTGCAACTAAAGACACTCCAGAAAAAGGACCCCCAGAAGTCCTTCAAAAAGTGGCAAGAATTGTGAATAAGTGTGTTCCAAGTGACGGGTGTGTGTTTAGTAGGGTTAATGGCAATATGTCTTTTACTGTGATACATTTTTTTTTTTACTGTGATACGTTTTTAAGAATGTAACCATCACCTTGCTTGTCCATCACATTGCATATAGATGCTGGTCTGTAATGTAGTGTACTCCATTTAGGGCAGTTCACATACATGGTCCGGCTGAAGATTCAGCCACTTCCCCACATCCCCCACAGCATAAGTAACCGTCCTTCAAACTGTCATCACATTGTCATTTCAGTGATCCAGGGAGGACCGCTGGAACACAACTACCGACTGAAGCAGTTCCACTTTCACTGGGGGGCCATTGACGCCTGGGGCTCCGAGCACACTGTGGACAGCAAATGCTACCCCGCAGAGGTATGTGGAGCAGCTCAGACATTGACGGTTGTGGTGAAATGGGGTAGTTCTGAGGTTTCTAGTTCTAAGAAATGATCAGGAAGAATCAAGTGATGCCTGTCCATGCCAAATAGCTGGCTCAGGGACCAATTTGATTAGCCCTAGCTTAGACTTGTAAAAATTAGACATCTACCAATAAACTCAATGAAAAAAATAAATTATAGACATCTTAAATAATAGGGCTGAAGTGTACTTTATAATCCTGAAAATGTATTCCTCCACAGTTCTAAGCTAGGCTTAAATTATTGCCTAAACTAATAATCTGGGCAACAGTGCAGAGCCACAAGGTTGGATTAATCCACATGAGAAACAGTGCAAGCGTCCCCAAAGGCTGTGGCAATAGAAATAGAGAGAAAACAAGATTTGTTTAAACATTTCTAAAATAAAAGCACCAGAACTTGGTTGTAGGATCATTTTAAGGAGAGAAGGAGGCAAAGATAACCAAGAACGTTCTTCTTATGCATTTTCCCCTAATTGAGTTTTTAATGCTATATTTATTTTTATTTATTATTGGGGGGGTAACCGGGGATTGAAGGCGGGTCCTTGCACTTTCGAGGCAGGCAGTAGAACCACTGAGCTAAATCCCTGGCCCTTTAATGTTATGTTTAAAATGACACATTTTAAGTGGTCATCCTTCCAAGAAGAAATTTGTCTTCAACTCCTGTGTAATTTCTACAGGGAAAATCTGTTTCTCTCAGTGTAAATATCTTCTCTGCTTTAGATGCAAATGAATTTTGGATATTAGTATTTCATGCAAATCAGGATGGGAGTGAACAAATGTTCATCCCTCACTGAAATGTTCTTTTGCTATATGAATTTTATTTTTCTCCCCTAATAAATCCCTCTCTTCCAAAGTAACACTAATTGTTGCTCTTGCCTAAATTTTCTCCCGTTCTTTATTTTCATCTCATTTGACACTTAATTGCCATATGCTTTTCAAAGTGGCTTTATTTTGGATGAGGAAACATGATTAAATATTGAGCGTTGGATGAAGTTGTCACGTTTCTCTTCAGCTAGCCAGTATGTTCATGTGTTAAACCCACTTTTAATGGTGTTTCAGCTGCACTTGGTTCATTGGAATGCAGTCAAATTTGAGAGCTTTGAAGATGCAGCACTGGAAGAAAATGGTTTGGCTGTGATAGGAGTATTTTTGAAGGTAAAAATAAATCTCAATAACTTTAAATGATGCGTTGTATTAGATCAGGAGAAAACAGAACATTCTAATATTTTTATTTACTACAAGAATATTGGAATCAATACAATAATAAAAAAGCAATTATTAATAATATATTTCAGGGGTCGGGGATTTGGCTCAGTGATTCTGCCTCCTGCCTCTTAAATGCAAGGTCCCGAGTTCGATCCCTGGTACCAAAGGAAAAAAAAAAAAGAATATATTTCAAATGGTATAAAAGTACACGGTCCAATAGAATGATCACAAAGCCATCTGTGGCAATTGAGCATTTGAAATGTAGTTAGTGTGAGTGCAGAATAATTTTTAATTCTAATTAATTTAAATTTCAATATAAGAAGAGGCAGGAGGTACCTTTCCCTGCAGGCACATTGGCCTTGTCAGCATACAGCCTGCTCATTTGTTTGTGTCTAATTTAATTCAGTGATGTTTATATCATTCTCAATTATCAGCTTAAGTCTACTTTCAGTTGTGTGGTAGGTTTATATGTAATCACCAGGTGGTTCATTTTAAATTCGCATCCTGTTACCGTTTCTACAGTGAGATGTCCATTGTTTGTAACATTTTCTTTTCGATCGTCCTTTAGCTAGGCAAACATCATGAAGAGCTACAGAAATTGGTGGATTTTTTGCCATCAATTAAGCATAAGGTAATCCCCCCCCCATCACCTGAAATCCATTTTATGTTTCAGTCTGGGTGGAGACAGTGAATCGGGAGTGTAATTCAGTGAACTGTATGGAGAGTCTCTTCCCACACTGCCATCAGAGACCTGCCTCTTAGGATATTCGCCTTAGCTGTCCCCCTCTTTGTTCCTGACACTAGCCCCCTCTCAGTCCTTGTCCAGACCAGCCTTCTTTGCTCTAGCTTCCTCCTGCAGATAGGGAGCAAGTCAACTTCTACAGAAATTTGATTTGTCTGGTTGCAGAAAACAATTTGCCTGTGTCCTTTGTCCAGTCCCTCGGATTGATTCTTCAATATTCAGAATCCCAAAGCGGTTACTTGCTAGAAGTCTGTTATTCATCCCTCCCTCTCATTCTCTCTCCATCTCCTTTTTCCCTTGTCTTTGTAGTCCAGGATTCTGGCTCCTCCTGGTTTATATTGCATGTTAAAAGGACAACTCTGGGTTAATTTCTCACTAGAATTGAGGGAGAAAAAGGTTTTGTATCTTAAATGTACAACCGGTTGAAGAAATAAAACCTGGGTAGGATTCTGACGTAGGCAATGATGATTCTTTGGGAAGCTGCCCAGGGTCCTTGGGGCTTGTCTGCTGGTCCCCAGACAGCCCCTGAAAATCACTGCTTCGTCAACTGATTCCTGAGTGGCTTTCACCACTGAAAAATAACTCAGCGACTCTTCCCTTGACCAGGACACCCTTGTGGAATTTGGATCCTTTGACCCCGCCTGCCTGATGCCCGCCTGCCCTGATTACTGGACCTACTCCGGGTCTCTAACTACCCCACCTCTCTCAGAGTCTGTCACCTGGATCATTAAGAAGCAACCAGTAGAAGTTGATCATGATCAGGTACCTTCTTTCCTCGTTTCCCATCTAAGGAAATCCTGCGACCTGTATAAAATAAGGCTGGGGTCAAACTTTGACATTGATTTTAACTTTTGTCTTAATTTGCATATGAATTAGGAAATGCTTCCAATTAATGAGAAAGAAGAGTGAAAACAAGGAAGAACTAAGCTATTTGCATCTATATTTGATAGTTACACGTTTTGGGCATCGTGTCATATATGTACATATGAATCTCTATATAAAGTTAAGAAGGCTAGAAATGGATATGTTCAAAACCATTTTAAAATCTGAAGGGAATTTTGCAATAAAAATCTCAAGATAAAGAGAACCCAACAATGACTGCCCAGGAAACTTAATGTAAGTTAGTTTTTTTAAATTTGGGATTTATTTTTCCCTTTGAAATTAAGTTTGAGTGGTAGTTTCCATATCAATACACAGTTATAACTAAAGTGTAATAATATTTGATTATACATGCTATATAGAAAAAAAGGAAACAAAAAACTCAAAAAATATACTTGCTATATGGAATCATTTATTGATTACAAAGCATTTTCACAAAAACAAGACTTTCCAAACTCTTTCTATAAAGCCAAGATAACTGATACCAACACTCATCAAAAATTTGTCCCCCACCCTGCCAAAAAAGTAAACCAGAAGCTGGTATCTCTGAAAAATGTAAAAACCAAAGGAAGAAGCAACTAAAATAAAATCTTTGAAACAGAATCCAACAGTATATTAGAAGACATATGTGCTTTTCCCAAGTAGTATATAGTCTAGTAATGTTAATAATATTCATCATATCAGTGACTGTAACTCAAAACATATTGTCATTGCCACAGGTGATTTTTCTCTTCATTCTGGGGGTTGAACCCAGGGAAACACTACCATGAAGCTATATCCTCAGCCCTTTTTATTTTTTGAGACAGGGTCTAGCTAAGTTGTCAGGCTGGCTTTGAACTCGTGATCTTGCTGCCTCAGGCTCTTGGAGAGACTCAGATTACAGGTGTGCACCACTGTGCCTGATATTTCCATAAATTCTGAAAGACATTTTCAAGATGCTCTATTCAGTTTTTTAAAACTTGGAAAATTAGAGATGAATAGAGACTTCTTAATACAATAAAACAGATTGGTCTTGGTTCAAAAGTAAATATAGTCATACCTTGGTATCTAGAGGATCGGTTTCGGGACCTCTCGTGGATCCCAAAACTTGTAGATGCCCAAATACCTCATATGAAATGGTTTACTATTTGCATATAACATATTTACATCCTCTGTTACACTTCAAATCTTCTCTCCATTACTTATAATAATTAATATGATGTAAATCCTATGTAACTAGTTGTTATAATGCATTGCTTAGGGAATAAGGAGAAGAAAAAAATATATTCAGTACAGATGTACTTTGTTTCCACATATATTGGAGCTACAGTTGGAGGAATCCACAGACGTGAAACTCATGATACAATGGTCCAACTAAATATGCTTAATATAGAAAGGATTGTTACCGTATTAAACTGTACTTTAGAATTAGGTGGATGTGGTGGTGTGCACCTGTAATTCCAGCTGCTCAGAAGGCTGAGGCAGGAGAATCACTTGAGCCCAGAGTCCAGGGCCAGCCTGAGCAACATAGGGAGATTCCATCTCTTAAAAAAAATATGTTCTGGAAATAACCAATACAAAGAGACCAGAAAATAAAAATAAATGCAGAAAACAGTTAAAAAACTACTAGAAAAATAAGATATTTTGGTAACTACTGGATTACAATATTACTTTATAGAAATAAATATGTTCGATATACTTATATCCCAATTGCTATAGTGGCCCATCAATATATTGGAAGAAAGAATCCTGTTCATAATGCAACAAAAATATAAAATACTTTGGAATGAGCTTAATAAGGAAAAGTAACAAGAAAATTTAACATGTTCCTGAAGGATACAAAAGAAGACTTAAATGAATAAAACTCACCCCATATTATTGGATAGGGAGACATCATAAAGACACATTCCATATCAGTTCTCCTTAAGCAGCTACTCTCCAAGGACTGTTTATTGTCCATAGATTTAATGCAGTTCCAATGAATACATCCATAGAATTTTAAATAGGTACGTTACTTCTAAACCTGAGCAACAACATAGAAGCGTGGATAGCCAGGGACAACTCGAAAAGAGAAACTGAGGGATGGTAAGCGTGCCAAGCTTGTAAACCTTCAGTCATTAAATGCCATGATACCACCACATGAAGAAAGAGGTGGAGGGAAGTCGGGTAGCAATCTTCTTGCTCCAGTCAGTGGCTTTGGGATGCCCACCTTAGGGTGCCCATTCAAATCCCAACCTCATTAGGAAACACCCTTACAGACACACCCGCGGATCGTATTTATCCAGCTTTCTGGGCATCCCTGGGCCAGCCAGGGTGACACAACATTAGCCACCACAGGGCTAGGGATGTAGTTCGGTGGTAGAGCACTGGCCTAGCAATTCGTGAGGCTCTGGGTTCGATCCCCACTGCCATAAATAAACAAGCCCTCACAGTTAGAAAATAGTAAGTCTAAAAATATGTCCAAATCCATATGAGAACTTAATTTATGACAATAAGCAACATCTCAGTTCAGTGAGGACATTCAGTAAGTGCTGTTGAGGAACAACTAAAAGAAAAAAAGGATATATTCTAGACATATTAAATGCAAATCATACAAGTCCTAGGATAATCTTAGGAAAATTCACTCATACCTTCAAATGGAAGATATTCTTCTGTTAAGCAAGACCAGAAGTCTAAAAGAAAACTAATAGATTAGACTATGTATGTTTTCAATGCTGTGTAATGAAGACCACCATAAATGAATGGCAAAAACGTAGTGCTTGGCTTCCCATAAGCCTAGGCTTTGTGGCCTGTACATTTGGCCTGCTGCTGTTCTTCATATTTAAAAATCGATATAACAAGCTGGGTGTGGTGGTGCACACCTGTAATCCCAGCCTGAGCAATGTAGTGACTTAGTGAAATGAAAATAGAAATCTCAAAATAAAAATAAAAAAGCCTGGAGGTTAACTCAGTGGGAGGATCCTGGGTTCAATTTCCCTTACTAGAGAAAAAAAGAAAAGACACGACACTGAAAAATAAACAGAGCAAATAAATCAAGTAAAATTTCAATACAGAAAGTTCATTAAGCAAAAAGTGTAACCTGTCGTCTATAATCCCAGTAGCCTCTAATCTTACTAGTAGATGTTATTCACTGTCTTGAGTAAATCTTTCTGGTCTTTTATCTATATAAATATACATAACTTTTTTTTTTTTTACAAAAATCAGATTGTTACATATATATCATTCTGCTGGTCTTTTCACTTAATGATGCCAGAACATTTTATAGATGTTAAACATTATCTTTGATATCTTTTTTTTTTTTGGTTTTTTTTTGAGACAGGGTCTCACTATGTACTGAGACTGACCAGGAACTCACTATGTAGCTCAGGCTGGTCTCAAACTCACAGAGATCCTCCTGCCTCAGCCTCCCGAGTGCTGGAATTACAGGTATGCGCCACCACGCCTGGCTCTTCCATATCTTTTTCGTTTTGGGTTTTTTTTTTTTTGAAACAGGGTCTTACTGTATAGTTCAGATTGGTCTAGGCTTGAAGTTTTTGCTCCAAACAGATTGTCACATGCTTGTCCACTGCACCCCAAGCTGTCCTCTCTAGCTGCAATCCGCCACATTGACTGACAAGAAGTGTGAGCAGATTTTCTGGCTGGTTTGAAGTAAAGTGCTCCATAAAGTGGCTGCTAATCAAGCCAAAAGGTTATTACCGCAGCTGAGTATAAGCCCTCGTAATTTTGGGGTTGCTCCTTGTGTACTGAACGGTGCTATCCACTATGATAGCCACTAGTGACATATGGCATTCTACTTAAATATAAATACACTTGGTTTTAAAATTCGGTTCCTCAGTCACACTGACCACTGACCACATTTCCAGTGCTCAGTAGCCATATGTGGCTCGAGATTACTATAATGGGCGATGCAGAAGGCATTTTCATCATTACCGAAAGTTCCAGTGTGGGACATCCCACTGCTAGTTAGGAATTCTACATGCATTGCTTGGCCCACGATGCCCAGGTGGAGTGAGCAGTTAATCATACATGTTTATGTTAATGATTCTGTTAAATTATAAAAACATTTTTATACTATTACTCTATGTATCAGACCTTCCCTTTATTATTTGGTTATTTTTCTCATTTGAGTCTGTGGTCTTGAAGCAGGCACTCAGTGGCACCCACCTGAAATCCTAACACCCAGGAGGCTGAGTCAGGAGGATCACCTCAAATCCGAGGCTACCATGGGCTAACTAGCAAGTTGAAGGCCAGTCTGGACTACATAATGAGACCCTGTCTCAGAAAAACAAAAGCTAGTAAACAAAATATTGAGGTCTCAAGGATCACAGAGATGAAGTAACCAGGCCTTGGCGAATGACCGATATGTGGGGGTTAGGTCCCTTGTCTCTAGTCTTCTGATTCCAGGGCTTTTCCACCTCTTGTTGCTCTCCACACACAAGGATGGCAACAGCATGGCATTTTATTCCTTGTGAAAGGTGAAGGCATCTAACCCAGAAATAATTTCTCTTTCTGAATCCAATTTGAGACCAACGTTTCAGAAGCATAAACATTGAAATCAATTGATTCATGAGGTAAAGCCAGTTTTCTGTTGAAATTATTTACACTTTCTGTTTCTATTTCTAGCTGGAGCAATTTCGGGCCCTGCTCTTCACTTCTGAGGGGGAAAAAGAGAAAAAAATGGTGGACAACTTCCGCCCCCTTCAACCCCTGATGAATCGCACTGTCCGCTCATCCTTCCGCCACGATTATGTGCTGAATATACGAGCGAAACCCAAGCCATGGGCCAGCCAAGGGACCCCCTAAGATGCCCATACTTGGACAATATTTTGCTTCTTTTAGCTTTTTAAAAGTTGTTAACTAGACTATTTTAAATAGCGGCACTAAAAATATTTATAGATATATATTTCTTTTCTTGACATTTCCAAGTCACTATCTTTGTAAGGTAGGAAGAGGGAGACAGAACAATAGGGAAATAATTGATTGGTTAACATCGGGCTACTTTAGGTGACCATTTGTAAGGATTGGGGCAGAGGGGATTTCATTACTCTTGCCCATTGAGACTGCCTGTTTGGGAAATTTGGCTGTCATCTCTCTAATATTGCTTCCTGAGAAGGTCAGATTAATAATTTATTTTCTGTTTGGTGAAGTGGAACTTTATTTCGTGTGAGTGATTCCATTTTGAGTTTGAGCCTGGTCTGCTGCAGCCTAGTAGAGCAGTTTAGTTAAAAACAATGGCCTCCTGCCGGGTGTGGTGGCGCATGCCTATAATCCCAGCACTCTGAAGGCTGAGGCAGGAGGATCGCTGTGAGTTCAAGACCAGCCTGGACTACATAGTGAGTTCCAGGTCAGTCTCAACTACATAGTGAGACCCTGTCTCAAGAAAAGAATGGCCTCCTGTAATTTTTACTTAACAATTTTCTACTTTTGGTCAGACTCTCATGGCCTTAGGACCTTAGTGCTACTCTTAGTTACTATCAATCATTTTGAGCTTCAAGTATTAACATTTAATTCACAGGTTAGATGTGCATTTATTGGCATGAAAGTGCTTTATCAGTCTTTGAGAAATCTATTTGGTAAACAGATTCTTTGTTTGATAATAGTATTTATCACTAAAATACCAGCAAGGGATACAAGTTTCTTTTAAAGCAACCTATTGGTAATTGTAATGTGTTCTTGTGTCTGACATTTTTAAACTGTCTTTTTATATTTGCCAATCAGTGGTTCTATTGAGTTATAAGTAGGGGTTCCATTCAAAACGTTTGATAAATAGTAGCAGTAGAGACACTGACCACACCGAACAGAGGCCTTTTAGAAATGGCCACAGCGCTCAGACTGGCCCTTTCTGGCTGTATAATGACCATGGAGGGCTGGGAATTTAGGTCAAGATACCAAAAAAAAAAAAAAAAAAAAAAAAAAAAAAAAAAAAAAGAAATGGTATTAGGTATACTTTCTTTCAAAATGGGAATGTATATTCTTCTCCTAGGGCTTCTCAACAAAAGCATTTGCTCCACTTTTTACATGACATAATTAATACATGACGTGCTTACTTATTGCCAATTTATGATACAGAAAATATATTTTGTAATCATGAGAAAACAAGGATATGTTTTTGAGACAGGGTCTCACTATGTAGTTGAGACTGACCTGGAGCTCACTATGTAGCTCAGGCTGGTCTCAAACTCACAGCGATCCTCCTGCCTCAGCCTCCCAAGTGCTGGGATTACAGGCCACCATGCCCCACCACAAGGAGTTTACTATACCTGGAAACCCTCTTACATTTCTGAAGATCAGTTATTTTACTTAATGGCTTGATTACATAGAAAATATATTAAGAATATTTTACAGAAAATGCTTAGGGCTGCAGATTTAGCTCAGTGGCACCATGCATGCCTGGCAAGGGCAAAATCCTGAGTTCAATTCCCAGTACAAGGGGAAAAGAAAGAAAGAAAGAAAAGAAAATGCTTAAAATGCCTAGAACAGAATTCTTTCATGATACATTTAGAGAAATATTCTTTTTTTTTTTTTTTTTT